ACATCGGTCAGGGCCGGCTTCAGATTCATTACATAAGGTTTGATAAATGTGCACATTTACCAGTTCATGGTACAAAGGTTAGGTGTGCACATTGTAGCACACGCTCCCAGCCTCACAGGACCAGATGGCACTGCTCTAACTGCAACGTTGGACTCTGTTTAACCGAAGCTTCAAATTGTTTTTTTAAATTTCACCAACCATGAATTTGTTACTTTTGGTTCCATTGAACTTTTTTTCTCATAGCTTCTTTGTGCTCATGATTTGGAACCACATGATTGTGAAAAAAGGATTATAAAAACATATTTTCTTCTTGCAAAATTGTTGTTTACTAATCTTTTTATTACACCCTACAATCAAAAATTATAGGTTTTCGAAAAAGTTAACTCGTCCTCAAAGGGTTAAGACTCTTGCAGAAACCAAAGAAGAGACCTGTGGAGACCCCGGCCTCAAGTGACAAAACCCTTGAAGCATGTAAATACCTGAGGAATATGAGGAATAGGTTGATTGAGGCTTCATATATTATATATTAGACTACACTACACTATTTACTGTTTCGAGTTGAGCTACCAAGCGGAGCACATGAGTAGAGCAAATGTGATCTTAGCGAAATGTTGTGATGTACACCCAGGATACCACTTCAGCATGTGATATCATCCAAGAAAGACTACACCAAGCATGAGTTGCATTGCAAGTTTCAAATGGACTTATTTACAATGTTTCAAATTTTTTCTATAATCATCCAGTTTCAACTGGTCGTCAAAAAAAATTAATTACTGCGATTATGTATGTAACTGATAAAAACATTCCTACATAAATCTCACCTCTTTCAATCCACTCTGTTTCCTGATTCGATATGTGCTTTTACCAATTTTTTTCCAGTACTTGCTGATATCACTCTCCTCCAATTTCTCAACTGAGACATAGGGGCGATTCAACATAAACAGTGTACTCATAGATAGTGATAAACGGTCATTAGCTGGTTCATGATCTGTTGAAGTACTCACATCTTTGGTAGCATTGGCACTCTGAAACAAGTGTTTGATCACATCTTAGTATTTGAAATTTACAATTGCAACGCAAACGGGTAAGATAAAACAAACTAAGAACAGATATCCGATCAGACATAAAAATAAGTTCAGGAAAAGGAGTGGTAAGTTCGTAATAATTCATCAATACGTTTCAGAGAAAAATTAATTTTCTGGTTCAAATTTAAAAATCCCTGTATAAATATAATACATAAGCGTACTCATTAACATGAAAACAAAAAAAAATCAACCAAAGTGATAACTTCATTATTGTTTATTTATTATTGTTTAATGAACCTTTTTCCTGAAGTACAAAAAATCACTCACTACCAGCGCTAGTAGTTTGGTAGGGACAAACACTGCCTAATCCTTATATAAACATATGGTAAAGTACAATTAAAAAAGAATATGTTGAACAGAAGAAGATATTCCTGGAGCAAAACTAAAATTTGCAACTGTAAAGGATAACAATGTTGTGACATTAAAAGGTTGGTATGCATGCCGTAATTTAAAAGTAACTGAAAAAAAAAGGAATTAATAGACAGGTTAGTATACAGACTCCAGTAAA